GCCTGACACCCCCCCTCTCTGCTCCCTGGCAGCTTGCCCTCTCCCCTCAGTGTGAGTGCCGACGCGCGGCCCGGGGGGAGCGAGCGGGCGGGAGCGGGGCGCAGCATCCTTCTCCCCACCGCCGCCTCGGCCCCCCCACCCACGCGCGGTCTGACCCTCGCCGCCTCCTCGCCCCTTCTCCCTTCCCCTCCCCCCCCTCCAGCTCCCGGGAACCCGAGCTGCCGCTGACTTCGTCTCTGCGCACACGTTCACACATTCATGTTATCCTCAAATGAAAAGACTGTCCGGGGAGTTGGGAGCTCATCTCTCCCCTTGTGAAGAGGGTGGCGGTGGGAATCCGAGGCCCAGGGAGAGAATACAGTAGAGGGGACTATGAAGCCCTTCCCTGGGGAAGCAGCAGGTAGAAGCAGGCCTTCTACTCAGAAGTTCCTGCCAGAGCACATTCCGGCCTGTGTAGGTCACTTGAGCTGGGCACCAGCTAGCTGTGCGGCCTTACCTTCTCGGGCCTGAGTTTTTTCCAGTGGAAAAATCAGAGGGTTGGATTAGATGGTTTGGAAGGCCCTACCTAGTCTAAGGTGGTTTGGAGAGGAGCGTTAGCATCTCCTGCCTTTCACACACACAACTGTTTCCTCGCCTTTTCTTGCACCTACACAACACTTTCCACGTTGGGTTTCCCCTGCTCCCAGTGTCACCCAGAGTCACCAAGAACCAGAGGGGCCTTTTTGCTTTTGTATGGACCTCTTTTTGGTGGTAGTGGTGGGGATTTAAGATGGGTTTAAAGTGAAATATGGCTCAGGTTGGTCCTGCTTTCTGTTTGTTCAGTGTCTTCTGTTCGTCCTAAGGCCCCAGGATAGCCCCAACCTGCTCCTGGTTAAAGACTGCCTCCCTGGGAAGGACGAGATTATGCTTTGGGTTGACTAGCTCATCTTTGAGCTGGAGAAAAGTGAAACATGTGATTCAGGGTTTTGAGAAGTTGACAGGATCCCTGGTATCCTTGGATTTTGTTGCTCTCTTGCTGCTGTGACCCATACTAAGAAGCCTGTTCTTGTGCCTCTGCACCTCCCCTTCCCCAAGGATTGCAGCCCTGTTTGCTCCTGTTTTGAGTCCCTTTCCTGAGTCCTCTTACAGCCACTCGGTTGTGTATAAACTACACTGTATTTACTAGTACTCTTGCTTGCTCTTTAACTTGACCATTTAGTAAGATTTCAGGGTCTTCTTAATCTCTTTGTTCCATCTCATTTTTTTCTCATGCTTACCTCTCATGTACCTCTTGGCATGGATGAAGGTGGCATGGTGCCTGCTTGTGTTCATTCTTTTTTGTGGAGGTGGGTTCCTGTTCTTAAAATTACTGCTTTTGTACTTGAATCCTATGCTGTGGCTACATCCAGTTCCAATAACTCTCCCACTCTTTCATTTCCTCAGTCCTAAGCCAACCAGTGTTTCAATTCCTTACTCTGGTGAAAAACTTTCCCAATTTTTCATGTTTTCAAACATCTTTAAGTAAGCCAAAAACCACTATTTGTATCATATGTGATGTCTTAATTGTCTTGGTAAAATAATAACACTGATGGAACAATCATTCTGGGACGGTCTCTTCACCTTGGAAATTATTGGTTAATATTCATTAGGTTTTATAATAAATTTCCAGTGTACATTGTTGTTACTCATGGCCAGTGTTGCATCAAAAGTATAGACTAACAAGTCCCCAAGGCCTTAACTAAACCCTGTGGCGTGTGGAGTTGATCCATGACTTTTTGGTATCTGACAGCAGTGGCCCAGAGTACCACATTTTTCAGTGAAACTAACAGCTATTTTTGAAAACCAGAGCTTGGCTAGCATCCTTACTGGACCTCTTTGAGGAAGAGGCTGTTCAAGTGCTGGCACTGGAAGTTGTTTGGAGTTGCCAAATCCCATCCCATTTATGATTTGTACTTTAGAATCCTTACTCTGATCCTAGTGACTCTAACATAGAGCAGCTGATTGTTTTGTCTGGATTTATGGTTGCAGTAACAATGAAGAGGAGAAGTGATCCAGAATGCACTGCCCCTATCAAGAAACAGAAGAAAAGAGTTGCAGAGCTTGCCCTGAGCCTCAGCTCTACATCTGATGATGAACCTCCCTCCTCTGTCAATCATGCAGCAAAAGGTATGCTTGCCTGTGTGGTCTGAGGCCACTGGTCATCTGGTTATTTGAATCCCTGGAGCCTGATTTAGACAGAATACAGTCCACTGCTTCTTGAGGAAAATTAGACAAATTCTGCAGAGATGTGTTGACGGTAGACTCTCTTCCCAGGAATGCTGCCATTCTCCTAATAGGAATTGGGGACTTGTTTAAAATAAAACATTGGAGTTTTTACAGAAGTGCATTAGTTTTGTTGCTGGTCCTTCAGTAGGTGGCAGTCTTTTGCTGCCATAAACCAGGTGGAAGTATAGGCATACCTTGGAGATACTGCGAGTTTGGTTTTAGACTGCTGCAATAAAGTGAGTTGTAATCATTTTGCTGGTGGAGGGTCTTGCCTTCAATTTGTAAAAAAACATAGCATCCAGGGAGCGCAATAAAGCTGAGTGCAATAAAGCGAGGTGTCCCTTGCTCTTAATAGTTGTTAGTAATCCTGAGGCTCTTTGCTGCAGTGATCTGGCCTAATTCCTCTTTGTTTTTTGCATTGTTTTCTCAATTCCCTCAGCAGTTGTGATCAGAGATACCCAAATGAATTGGAACATTCCAGTATTCACTGTTTACATTAAGCTCAAAGGATTTGCTCATCTGGTTGAAAGTAGCATTTTACTTTGCTTGTTTCTTGGGGTTATGGACATTTACAGTTTACACAGATGCTTTCTATGAGAAATTGTAAAGTGTCTAGGAGCCTGCCTTAAATACCAAGCAATTAGCTCTCACTGGTGTGCTCAGTGGTTAGAGCGTCAGCCCTTGCGTGGAAGGGTCTCAGGTTCTATTTCTGGTCAAGGGCACATACTTGAGTTGCAGGTTCGATTTTCAGCCCCAGGTTGAGGCACATTTGGGAGGCAACCAATTCATATGTCTCTCTCACATCAATGTTTCTCCCTCCGCCCCACCCTCCATTCCCTCCCTTCCACTTTCTCTAAAAATCAATGGAAAAAATATCCTTGGGTGAGGATTTTTTTTTTTTTTTTTTTTATTATCCTCATCCGAGGACATTTTTCCATTTTTTGTACAGACAGAGTGGGAGGGAGAGAGAGAGAGAAACATCGATGTGAAAGGGACACATCGAGTGGCTGCCACCCGCACGACCAACCAGGGCCAGGGACAAACTGCAACCGAGGCACGTGCCCTTAGCGGGAACCGAACCCGGGTCTCTCGGGACCTCAGGCAGACGCTCTAACTGCTGAGCCAAACCGGCCAGGGCTCCTTGGGTGAGGATTAACAAAACAAAACAAAACCAAGCAATTAGAAGTAGCTGCATTTGCATTTACCTTGACTTGTATTAATTTCCTCTAACTGCTGTTACAAATTACAAATTGGGTGGCTTATAACAACAGAAATTTACTCTTCACAGTTCCGGAGGTCAGAAGTCTGAAATCAAGGTGTCAGCCGGGCCATTTTCCTCCTAAGGCTCTTGAGAAGAAGGCTTTTTTTTGCCTCTTTTAGCTTCTAGTGGTTGCTGGCAGTCCTTGCTGTTCCTTGGCGTATAGCAGCATAACTCCAGTCTTGGCCTCTGTGCCCGTGTTCAAATTTCTCTCTTCTTATAAAGACACCACTGGCACCACTTCTTCTTTTTTTTCTTATCCTCACCTGAGGACCGCAGGCCGATGCTCTAACCGCTGAGCCAAACTGGCCAGGGCGGCACCACTTCTTATAAAGACATCAGTAATTGGGTTGGGGGCCCACCCAAATATAGTATGACCTCATTTAATTTGATTACATCTAAAGATCCTATTTCCAAATGTCATGTTCCCAGACTAGGTGACATGACCTTTTGGGAGACACTATTTAACCAGCTGTCTTGCATTTGGGATCATCTTCGGATCACTGGTAAATTGGAATGAAATGTGGTAACAGGTAACCGTCAGGGTGCGAAGCACCCACTGAGGGTGGTAGAAAATAAAGGTTATTCATAGTGGTAAGCTCATTGAAGGGCACTTACTCCTCAGCTGTACTGAGAAGCTGGTCCAGGGAGAAGCTTGACAAGTGGTGTAGCACATTTGGTGTGTTCTAGCTGGAAAACAGACTTACAAACTTTTGTGTGGAGATATATGTGCCTTTAAAGTTCTCACAGTGGCCCCGGCTGGTTTGGCTCAACAGTTAGAGTGCTGACCCTTGGACCGAGGGTCTCGGGTTTGATTCCCGGTCAAGGTCACGTACCTGGTTGCAGGTTTGGTCCCTGGCCCTGGTTGGGGTCATGCAGGAGGCAGCCAATTGGTGTGTCTCTCTCTCTTTCCCTCCCTTCCACTCTATCTAAAAATATTAAAAAAATAAAGTTGTCACAGTGAATTCCAGGGTAGGTAAGAACTGCTATATGTAACTGAGGTCACTAAGTAGGAAGGTAGAAAACATATTGGATGCATTTGTTCTAGGGACTATTAAGGAAAGGGAGTTTTGGTTCTCATCTGGGATTTGAGCAAGTTGGTGAAGGTAAAGGGTCTCCTTGGGTAAGGCTCTGGGGTATTAAGAGAGAGAGGCCTACAAGAGGAAAAGGGAGAGTGTGTCTGGGAGAATAAATGACACTCAGGTGGTGGTGGTATCTAGTTCCAAGGAGATCTTGGGGAACATTGCTCTCAAGTAACATCTTTTTGAAGTAAAGAGAGGACCACTTCCAGGTAGAAGAAGGTAGGTGTATATGGTTAAGGATCTCTCAAGGGAACCAGTCTGATTTAAATTTCAAGCTTTTTAAAATTAATTAATTATTTTTATTATTATTTATTTATTTATCCTCACCCGAGGACATTTTTCCATTTTTTTGTTCAGATAGAGTGTGAGGGAGAGAGAGGAAGAGAAGGAAACATTGACGTGAAAGGGACACATCGAGTGGCTGTCACCTGCACGACCCAACCAGGGCTGGGGACAAACTGCATCTGAGGTACATGCCCTTAGCGGGAACCAAACCCGGGTCTCTCTGGACCGCAGGCTGATGCTCTAACCGCTGAGCAAAACCAGCCAGGGCTAAACTTCAAGCTTTTGAAAATATGACTGAATTGAGATTCTCTTCCTCCCCCTCACAGACTCCCTTTAATTGTACCAAATAGCTTTAACCTTTTCTGGAAGTAACACCATATGACTCAGGATTGACTGTTGCTGTCCTATATGCAGAATGGAAATCTAGAGGTGGCCAGTACGGTATATGCTTCTGGCAATAGGCCATTTGATCCCTTTCATTTGCAGAAAATGAGGCAGGAGACGGAGGCAAGCAAACATTGCTAGATTTTCTTTGGTCAACTTATTTTATGAAGGGTCAGCTCCACAATGACACAAAACTCTGAGGGCTAGTCTAGTGTCTTCAGAAAGATTGCTCCCTGTCTCCCCACCCTCCCCACCTTCCAATCCTATATGCTTGGCATGGAGTAAATGCTCAGTAAATATTTACTGAATAGAATTGATAGAAGGCAGCAGTAGTAGTATCTTTTCCAAGAATCTTAAAATGCTTCACCTCTTTCACTTTGCCTGCCCCCTCTTCCATTGTACAGAAGATCATTTCATTAAATACTTATACTCACTCATGTAACTTCTGTTCTGTATTGGCTCCTCTGAGGCATCCATCCCCTGGACGGTGTGCCCTGGCAGTTTACTGTCTCGCCAGAAACGACACATCCATTCAAGTCAAAGCAGCTGTGTTTCTTTTTGTTCCAACCACTTCTACCTGGACGTACTGTTCAAATGGATGATTGAAAAATGCTCTTTAGGGAGTACAATTAGAAAAACAAAAAACACTAGTTACTATTTCTGTCTGGGCCTTGTTTGTGCTGCTTCTGCTCGATCAATGAGATGACTCATTAATAGATCTATTTAGTTTGATCAGTTTATTTTACATTATTGACAAAGTAGCTGTATTGCCAGGTCAGAGACTGACATCATCTGACCAGAGTAAAGAAGAAAAGGGATGTTGTCATGGTCACCATAGCAGCCTGTGATTTATTTTTATTTTAAGAGTTTGAAGGCATTTTTTAAGTCTGAACTCTTGGATATTTTCTATTAAATAACACCCTTTTGAAGTAAGGAGAGACAGGTGGAAGTAATTTTGTTCTTTTTTGATTGTTTCTCACTGGGAAGCAGGTATAGACCCTAAGACGGTTTCCTTCTCTCCTCAGCTGTGTGCCCATTCTGGGCTTCTGGCCCTCCGACAGTGTGTTGCTTTGGAAGTTGCCAGGGTCCTTCACCAGCACCATGCTGAAAGTGTCTTCCCTTTACCAGGTTTAATTCTTCCCTAAATAGGCTATTTTCCCAAAAACACCATTGCTTTCCTGTCAGTTCAGATTCATGACCTTAATCAAAAACTTCCTTTATCGGTATCTGTTTAAATTGCTCTAACGTGTTACCATTTGTCTGGCATGAAGGAGAAGTTGAGTCTTTAAACAGGAATGAGTGTATTCCACAGCAATTGTTAGGCAGGATGGGATGTTTATTAAAATCCATAGTTTATTCTTTTATATCTTTGTGCTGCTCACCTTGGCCACTAGTGGTTGGATCTGCCCTTCCTTATGTGTTGCTGTCTTTTCTAATCTTGGTATGTTTACCCTACTGTTCTGTTGTCATGTGAAACATTTGCTAGTAGCTGGAAAACCTGATTCTTCTATAAAGTGAACCTTTCTTTAAAATGACTAAAGAGTAATGACCTCTATCAGGTAGGGAAGAAATCTTAAATGAAAACTCTACATAATGTTTTGGGCTCTCTGGTAGGTTTTAGAAGGGGAGCTCCTAGGAGGTAAATGGGAATGCCACCCAGCTTTGGCAAGTTCTTAATGAAACTAATGATTTTAATAGACTGACCTTATTACTCCCGTTAATTTATATCCTCATTACAAGAGTGTCTGTTCAGTGTTTGCTAAATTTTTATCAGTCTTGGGAGGCTAAATCTTCTCTTTAGTTTCTGCTGCAGCCATGACAATGGTCTCCTTTTCATCTGAAAAGAGTGGCACCAAAGGCCTGGGGTAAAAATGAGTAGTGGCTGTGATAGTCTGTGGACATTAGGACTGATCTGTGGAACTTTGTCTTAAATCATGTCAGGCTAAGAATTGGCTTCAAATACCACATGAAATAAAAGAGAATTAAGGTTTGTCTGTTTATCCATCACACTTCTTTTTATTTATTTTTTGTTAATCCTCATCTGAGGATATTTTTTCCAATGATTTTTTTAGAGAGAGTGGAAGGGAGGGATGGAGGGGGATGGGAGAGAGAGACATGAATTTGAGAGAGACACACCTGTTGGTTGCCTCATGCACGCTCCCCAACTAGGGCTAGGGATTGAATCTGCAACCCAGGTATGTGTACTTGACCAGAAGTTGAACCCTTGACCTTTTGGTTCGATGTTTTAACCACTGAGCTATCCTGACCAGGGTCCATCATACTTCTCGATATCACAAAGAAATGTGTAGTAGGGTGGTATTTTAGCTTCTATCAACCTCACTCTCAGGACAGGGCAGATAGATATTAGGTAACACCGAGGGAAGAGGAATGGAGTGGAAAGATCTTTGTACCAGAGTCATCACTGATTTGCCTAATGAACCTTCCACCCATTTGGTTCTTTCTGTCATTTTGGTCCAAAATGTTATGAAAACAAAGAAAACAAAAGATCTCTGTCTTAGATCTGAGGGTAGCAGGAACCCAGTATGCTCAGGAATGATATTTGTATCATTGATGGATGTACATCATCCTGACATCCTGACAAACCCCTAGAGCTGGACCAAGGGCACACTCTCCTTTGAGGCTACCAGGTTTTCCTAAACTTTTCATAGATAGAACTATGAATCCCCAGACAGCTGGTGAAAGAAATAATAACTGACTTAACATTATAGCTTCTGGTTAGTCAGGACCCTGGGTCCCTGGACTGCCCCGAAGGATACTATAGGACTAGCAGGGAGCTGCCCATATTCCTGGCACCACTTCTTTCTGCAGTAAGTAGTATACAGGTTAAAGGCATGGAGGCAACTGAGTGAAGAGAATCTGAATCTTTGGAAGGGTGGTTCTTAGCATGTGGGCACTCTGTTACAGAGTGTCTCTCTCTCTCCTCCTAGTGGGAGAGAATAGATGAAAGGCCCAAGCTCAGTCTTCAGCTGTTCAGGAGGTCTTTTTTCTCAGATCTGCTATCCTCTGAAGATTTCTCTGGAAAGGAACTAAACTCTTTCCAGGGCTTAGAATGGTACTTTATTTCTCTATAGTTCTATTATTATTTCTAAACCTAATTTTCAAATGGATATATTCTTATTTCTCCCATAGAAAAGTGCAAAACAAAATAAATATCACTTCATTTCTCAGTTTCCATGGTTACTCATTGTTAATGTTCTGGGTCTTTCCTTCTGAGTGGCACTCTGGCACTCTGTGATTGGTCCATGTTAGCAAGTCAGCTCCTGCCCTGGCTGGGGTGGCTCAGTTGGTTGGAATGTTGTCCCATACACCAAAAGGTGGTGGGTTTGATTTCTGGTCTGGGCACATGGTTTCGGGTTCTTTCCCCGGTCAAAGTGCATACGGGAAGCAACTGATCAATGTTTCTCTCTCTCCTCTCTTCCCCTTCCTTTCTTCCTCTTCCCCTTCCTTTCTCCCTCTTCCTCCCTAAAATCAATAAAAAAACAAAAACAAGTTGGCTCCTTATTAAGGGACTTGGATAGCCACCCGAAGGGGAAGTGGCAAATTTGATGCCTCATACAGAAATGTTCTCAACCAAAATTCCTCCTTGCTAACTGCTTAGGAGCCAGGATTTTGGTTTTAAGTTTAATTTGATTTTTTAAAATAAGTTCACCTGCCTTTTCTTTCTTTTAAAAAAAATTTTTTCCCTTTATTGATTTTAGAGAGAAAGTGAGAGGGAGAGAGAGATAGAAACATCAACGAGAGAGAACATCAATTGGCCACCTCTTGCATGCCCCCTACTGGGTACTGGGCCCACAACCTGTGCTTGTGTTCTGACCGGGAATCGAACCAGCGACCTCCTGGTGCATGGGTCGACGCTCAACCGCTGAGCCACACTGGCTGGACTGCCTTTTCTTTCTTTTGCAAAACATTATGTCCTTTAAAAATGTATATTTATCTTAACTATTAGATTTTTAAGCTTCTTAGGGTAGGAGTGTCACTTTTGGATAGTACCTCATTGTGTATAGCATGGATCTTTTATAGAACAGGTCCTGGCCCTGGCTGGTTTGGCTCAGCGGTTAGAGCGTCGGCCTGCGGTCCGGAGAGACCCGGGTTCGGTTCCCGCTAAGGGCACGTACTTCGGTTGCAGTTTGTCCCCGGCCCTGGTTGGTCGTGCGGGTGGCAGCCACTCGATGTGTCCCTTCACGTCGATGTTTCTCTCGCTCTCTCCCTTCCTCTCTCTCCCTCCCACTCTATCTGTACAAAAAATGGAAAAATATCCTCAGGTGCGAATAAAAATAAAAAAAAAAATAGAACAGGTCCTGAACCAAAGTTGTTGTCTATCTATTAAACAGTATCAATATTTTGGACTTTGGTGGATCTGACAGATTCTATATTTCAGCCTGCTGGTAGTGATGAGGTGGGACTACTAAATAATATAGTCTAATAGGATTCAGTTCTCTTTTAGGGTATACATATTTCATCTTCATGTTCAAACATTTTGTTAGTGTTTTATTTTTTAAAAATGTTTTTAAAGACATCATTATTTTTTTAGAGCAGTTTAAGGTTCACAGCAAAATTCAGAGGAAAGTACAAAACCGTCTCCTGCACCCCTGCCCCTACACATGCATAGCCTCCTGCATTATCAGCAAGGAACATCTGTCACCATTAATGAGCCTACATTGACACATCATTCACTCAGAGCCCATAGTTTACTTGAGGGTTCCCTCTTGGTGCTGTGTACTCTGTGGGTTTGAACAAATGTAATGACATGTATCCTTCTGCTTCAGAGGGCTGAATGCCTTACACTACTAGTACTTGGATTACGTATATGAGGTGGTAAAAAAGGAAATAACTTTAAAAAATTTATTGATTGAGTTTGTTAGAGAGAGAAAGGAAGGGAGAGAGAGAGATTTGTTGTTCCACTTATTTATGCATTCATTGGTTGATTTTTGTATGTGCCCTGACCAGGGATCAAACCTGCAATCTTGGCATATCGGGATGATGCACTAACCAACTGAACTACTTGGCCAGGGCAAGAGGAAATAGTTAAAAAAAAATTTTTTTTTCCTTTATTGATTTTAGAGAGAGAGGCAGCTATAGAAACATCAATGAGAGAGAATATCGATCAGCTGCCTTCTGCATTCCCCACACTGGGAATTGGGCCCACAACCTGGGCATGTGCCCTGACCGGGAATCAAACTGGTGACTTCTTTGTGCATGGGTTGATGCTAAACCACTGAGCCATATCGACCAGGCAAGAGGAAATATCTTAAGGAGCTGTACACTCAGTAGGTGCTTAGCAAAGATGGCAGCTGGATGAGAGTTTGCTTAAATTCCCTACAGTGAGGACTTAATTTCTGTTAAGTAGAAAGCCTCAGTCCAGGTATGGGAGATAGAAAGTTGACTGCCACAGCTCCTGATCTTCAGGAATGACCCTGTCTAAATAACTGGCTCTCCTGCAATGTGATGAGTCTGTGCTGATGATGTGAATACTGGTGCTGCTGGAGCACAGTGGAAGGGAGAATCAGGCCTGGGCGCTGGAGAAGGCTTCATTCTTCTCAACCCTTAGCAAGTTTGTGTTCTCCTAGGGAAATGGATGGATCAGTACACAGGAGTTAGGATGCCATGCTCATGCACATGGTCTCGCTTTTCTGTTGTTCATTTGACAGTGTGTCTGGGTGAGCTATTCTTTCTAATACATAGAGCAGAAGTTCCCAAATTTTGGCTGTCTTGTACCCTTAGTGTCACCCTAACTTTTTTCACCATGCTCTTAGGCCAAAAGAAATACCTAATAGTTCAGTTTATTAAGTATTTAGGTCTAAATAATAAGCATTTATAGCCTTATAACTAATAGATATTTGGATGAATAATACACATAAGTTGAAAAGCTATTTTATTCTTAAACAAGCACAATAACTTATTAAAGAGCTATGTATACTATTGAGCTCTATATAACTTCTCAAACCTTTGGTTCAGATTGGATACCACCACCCTAATTTCCTGTTTTGCATTTCTCATTGCTTGCAGTTTATACCATTGTCAATGGGAATATGCAGAAATTTAACCAAATATTTTAGATGTAGTCTATTTCCAAATTGGGATGGGTTTGTCAAAGAAACTATCTGAGTAAAATTACATTGGGTTGAAATAGCTTTCAAGTTAAGGGGTCATGTATCTATAAAAGAGTGAAAGAGCCAGTCACAGTGACTTTTGGCCAGGAGACCTGTAACCCACCACTCTGACAGCTGCTAAGGTGGGTCTTATTTGGAGTCCTTTGGCAACAAGGTTGTTTACAGGGAAACAGTGGCTTAGCTCACCTAGGCCACCAGCTCCCTCCAGCAACTCCTCTCCTCTCCACCTTAGTTGGTGCTGCTGCCTGAGCATCTCCCTCTTCTCTGTCCTTCCTCTCTTTCCTCCTCTTCCTTCTGTTTTTTCTTCCTTCTCTTTATTCCCTTCTCCCTTCTCTTCTCCCTTGCTCTTCCCCCTGTGAGCCAGCTCTTCTCTGGGGCTGTGCTATAGGACCCACCCTCTTACCTATAAATTTAAAGGACTGCGAAGACAAAGGAAATTAGGAGATTAGACAATCAGAAACTGTTCGTCTGACCATTATATCTTCAATAAATACATTTTATATTTAGCAATGTCCTTTTTGTTTTTTTTGGTTAATCCTCACCTGAGGATTTTTTTTCCATTGATTTTTAGATAGAGTGGAAGGGAGGGAGGGAGGGAGGGAAGGAAAGAGAGAGAAAGAAAGAGAGAGAGAGAGAAACATCAATGTTATCAGTGTGAGAGAGGCACATTGGTTGCCTCCTGTAGGACCCCGACTGGAGCTGGGAATCGAACCCACGACTCTTTGGTCTGCAGGCCAGCACTCTATAACTGCTGAGCCAAACAGGCCAGGGCTGCAATGACCTTTAAATACATTATTTCATCCTCTTGTGAGGAAGGTATTACCATCCTAGTTTATAGTGGAAGAAATTGAAAAGGTGGGAAAGGAAAACATATTTTTGAGTCCCCATTGTATGTCAAGTACCATTATGAACTTGTAATGACTTGTCCAAGATTACACAGTTAGTAAGAGGTAGAGAATACATTTGACCCTGGGTCATTTAATGAACTTTATGTGTGCAATGCATATATTAAACAATAGTTGAATAAATGAAATTGGACTTCTAGAGGTTATTTTGTGCCGTAAACTCACCTAATTATTTTCCTTTTTTCTTTTCTAGTATCTACCACGAGCCTCAGTGGGTCTGATAGTGAGACTGAAGGGAAGCAACGCAGCTCTGATTCTTTTGATGATGCATTCAAAGCAGACTCTCTTGTGGAGGGAACTTCCTCCCGCTATTCCATGTATAACAGCGTCTCCCAGAAACTTATGGTATGTCAGCACTTTGGTTGGGTTTCTAAAGCTCCACCAGCAGAGTGAGAGAAGGGAATTGGTTTTGATTGGTGTGAAAAGAAGAAATGCTAGAGTGTGAGTTTTTCCTTTGTTTTTCAGCTACTGATATGTAGTAGAGTGTGGCCCCCTTCTCAACAGAAGTATCAATCACATTGGAGTCATCCATGGGAAGTGGCTGCTCAGGCCTGCTTCTCCTGTCCCATCCAGAGCTTGATCTCCCTTTGGTCTTCTGAGTAATGAATTCTATTTTATTTTATTTATTTATTATTTTTTATTAGCATGAAGGAGAGAGGGAGAAAGAGAGAGAGAGAGAAACATCAAAGTGAGAGAAACACATCGAGTGGTTGCTACCCACACGACCCCAACTGGAGCCGGGGACAAACCACAACCGAGGTTTGTGTCCTTATTGGGAACTGAACCCGGGTCCCTCTGGTCCATGGGCTGACACTCTAACCGCTGAGCCAAACTGGCCAGGACCTGAGTAATGAATTCTTATTATGAGCACAAGTGAACATACTTCCCTACATGTAGATGTGTGTGGATGGGTAAAGAGGCTTCATGCTATGAATTTTTGTTCTAGTGAATGATCTCAAAAGAAATGACTAAAATCCTGCTCACTCCCAGGTGCCTAAAGTAAACGGGAGTAGTATAGTCTTCTGTATTGCTTCGAGAGGTGACCTGTTCTCCTTCTCAGCTTCCATACACCATTGAAGGTGAATGGGAAGACCTGCTTACTTTCTTCCTCAAACTTGAGTGTATGTGCCAAGGTTAGAGAAATCCAAGTTTGCCTTCCGACTAGGTTCAGGGATATTATAGGTGAGTCCTTCATTTTATGTTATATTCATTTAAGAATGAGAACCACTTCTGAAGCCATAGTCTGGATTCTAGTTTTGGTGCCATAAACTTTGGGGCAGTAGAAGATGGGGAGGTTTGTGACTCAGCCTCTAACCTGGGGAAAGATTTGTTGCTACTGTAGGAATTCCATCCAGCTCTTGAGCTGGTAATGCCCCTTCCTGAGGAAATACAGACCCTCTAGGGGGAATCAAATCTTCTTAGGATTTGTCTTCCTATTAGAGACAAATAGGAGATCCTTGTCTCCTATTAGACAAGGATCTTTGGGGTTTGGGATTTAGATCTCTGATTTTTGGGGTATATAAGTGGACCCAGTGACTCTAGAGTTCAGTATGAGCTTATAGACAGTTGTGACATTTAAAAATGATTCTGTCCGACATCTTATAGTACCTCTCATACCTCAGTTTTACACAAAGGGATTTTTCAGTTAATCTCTTGATTTGGGCTCCTATAGGCCCTCATTGTCCTTGCATAGTAAGGCTCTTTGAGTAGCTGAGGGTAAGGCAGAGAAGTAGCTGTTTGAAGTGGTTCCATTATTTTTTTCTTTTTTGCCTTTTTTTTTTTTTATTGTTGACAGAATTATAGATGTCCCCCATTCCTCCCTCTTTGTCCCCTTCCACCCCATCCCCACCCCACCCCAGGTCTTTATCACACTATTGTCTATATGTCCATGAGCTTGCATATATGCATATATGTTCTTTGGTTAATCTTTTCTGTCTACCCCCACACCCCTCCCCTCTGAGATCTGTCAGTCTGTTCCATGTATCCATGTCTCTGGACCTATTTTGATCATCAGTTTATTTTGTTCATTAGATTCCACATTAAGTGAGATCATGTGATATTTGTCTTTCTCTGACTGGCTTATTTCGCTTAGCATAATATCTCCAGGTTGATCCATGCTGTCACAAAGGGTAAGAGAGTCTTTTTTTATTACAGTTGCATAGTATTCCATTGTATTAATGTACTACAGCTATTTTATCCATGTATCTACTGATGGGCACGTTGGCTGTTTCCACATCTTAACTATTATAAATAACACTGCTATGAACATAAGGGTGCATATGTTCTTTCTGATTGTTGTTTCAGGATTCTTAGGACATATTGACATATCCCAGAAGTGGGATCACTGGGTCAGATGGCAGTTCCATTTTTAATTTTTTGAGGACCCTCCATACTGTTTTCTACAGTAGCTGCACCAGTGTGCATCTCCACCAGCAGTGTACTAAGGTTCCTTTTATCCATATCCTCGCCTGTACTTGTTGTCAATTTATTGATGATAGTCATTCTGGCAGGTATGTGTTAATACCTCATTGTAGTTTATTTATTTAAAAAAAAAACACTTTTTTTCTTTATTGGTTTTACAGAGAGAGAAAGTGAGAGGGAGAGAGAGAGAAGCGTCTAAGAGAGAACATCGATTGTCAACCTCCTGCATGCTGCACACTGGGGATCAGGCCCACAGCCTGGGCATGTGTCCTGACCAGGAATTGAACTGGCAACCTCTTGGTGCATGGGTTGATGCTCAACCACTGAGCCACACCATCTGGACTCACTGTAATTTTAATTTGCATGTCTCTGATGATTAGTGACAAGTATTTTTTAATATGTTTATTGGCCATCTGTACGTCCTCTCTAGAAAAGTGTCTATTTAAATTCAATTTTTTTATTGGATTGTTTGTTTTTCTGGGGTTTCAGTTGTATAAGTTATTTATATGTTTTGGAAATTAACCCTTATCAGGTGTATCATTGGTGAATTTGTTCTCCCCTGTAGTGGGTTTCCTTTTCATTTTCTTGGTGTTCTCTTTGCTGTGCAGAAACTTTTTAGTTTGATATTGTCCCATTTGCTTATTTTTTTCTTTGTTTCTCTTGCTCTAGAAGATATATCAGTGAAAATTGTGCTATGTGAGATGTCTGAAATTTTACTGTCTATATTTTATTCTAAGATTTTTATGGTTTTGTGACTTACCTTTAAGTCTTTTATTCCATTTTGAGTTTATTCTTGTGTATGGTGTAAGTTGGTGGTTTAGTTTCATTTTTAAAAGTGTACCTGTCCAGTTTTTCTAACACCATTTATTAGAGAGACAGTCTTTTTTTTTTTTTTTATCCTCACCCGAGGACATTTTTTCATTTTTTGTTCAGATAGAGTGGGAGGGAGAGAGTGGAGAGAGAGAAACATCGACGTGAAAGGGACACATCGAGTGGCTGCCACCTGCACGACCCAACCGGGGCTGGGGACAAACTGCAACCAAGGTACGTGCCCTTAGTGGGAACCGAACCCGGGTCTCTGGACCGCAGGCCGACGCTCTAACTGCTGATCCAAACCAGGGCTAAAGAGACATTCTTTACTCCATTGTATGCTCTTGCCTCCTTTGTCAAATATCAGTTGATCATAATGGCGTGGGTTGGTTTCTGGAGTCTCTGTTCTGTTCCGTTCCATTCATCTATATGCCTGTTCTTGCTCCAGTACCAGGTTGTTTTGATTACAGTGGCTTTGTAGCATAGTTTGATATCTGGTATTGTGATCCTTCCAACTTTGTTTTTCTTTTTTTTAATCCTCACTCGAAGATATTTTTCTGTTTATCTTCAGATAGAGTGGGAGGGAGGGAGGGAGGGAGAAATATTGATGTGAGAGGGACACATCAACTGGTTGCCTCCCACATGACCCTGGCCAGGGCCTGGGTCGAACCGCAACTGAGGTACGTGCTCTTTGCTGGAATCGAACCCGTGACTCATTGGTCTGCAGCCTGACACTTTACCACTGAGCCCGATGGGCAAGGGCCCAACTTTCTTTTTCATTCTCAAGATTACTGAGGCTAGTCCAGCTGGTGTGGCTCAGTGGTTGAGCATTGACCCATGCACCAAGAGGTTGCCGGTTCGATTCCCTGTCAGGACATATGCCCAGGTTGTGAGCCCGATCCCCAGTGGGGGGGCATGCAAAAGGCAACCAGTCGATGTTCTCGCTCATTGATATTTCTCTCTCTCTCTCCCTCTTACTTTCTCTCTCTCTCAAATCAATAAAGGACAGAAAATTAAAAAAAAAAAAGGTACTGAGGCTATTCAGGGTCTATTTTGGTTCCATATAAATTTTTGGAATATTTGTTCTAGATCTGTGAAATATACCATTGGTATTTTTTTTTTATCCTCACCCAAGGACATTTTTTTTCACTTTTTGTTCAGATAGAGTGGGAGGGAGGGAGGGAGGGAGGGAGGGAGAGAGAGAGAGAGAGAGAGAGAGAGAGAGAGAGACATTAATGTGAAAGGGACACATCGAGTGGTTGCCACGGCTGCCACCCACATGACCACCTATGGCTGGGGACAAACTGCAACCGAGGTACATGCCCTTAGCGGGAACCGAACCTGGGTCTTTCTGGACCGCAGGCCAACGCTCTAACCGCTGAGTCAAACCAGCCAGGGCTGTATCATTGGTATTTTAATAGTGATTGCATTGAATCTATAGATTGCTTTCGTTAGTATAGTCATTTCAGTGATGTTAATTCTTCTAATCCATAAACATGGCTTATGCTTCCACTTGTCTGTATCTTCCTCTATTTCTATTTTTTTCTTTTTAAATTATATCTTTATTGTTGAATGTAGAATATATTACAGATGTTCCTCATTTTTCCCCCATTGACCCCCTCCTCCCCACTCCCGCCCCCTCTTGTCTTTTCCCACACTGTTGTCTGTGTCCATTGGTTATGCATATATGCATATAAGTTCTTTGGTTTATTTCTTCCCACCCCCCAAACCTCCCTTCCCTTTGAGGTTTGTCAGTCTAGCAACCAATTTGTTCTTCTTAATCCCTTCACCTTTTTCACCCATTCCTCCAATCCCCCTTCCACCTGGCAACCAACAAAGTGTTCTCTATCTATGAGAATGTTTCTGTTCTGCCTGTTCATTTTGTTTGTAGATTCCATTGTCGATAGATATGTATTCATTGCCATTTTGTTTGTTCATATATTTTATCTTTTTCTTCTAAAAGACCCTTCAACATTTCATTTAATAACGGTTTGGTGGTGACGAACTCCTTTAACTTTTTCTTGTCTGGGGAACTTTTTATATGGCCATCGATTCTAAATGACAGCTTTGCAGGATAGAGTAATCTTGGTTGTAGGTTCTTGCTTTTCATTACT